AAAAAAAAATAAAACCCTTTCGTGGCTCTACAATAGACTCAGGATAAAACCCCAAATCCCAGAATGGAATTCATGTCCCTCTATCACCTGGAACCTTCTATTATTTTAAGCACTCCAGCTTTTCCCTCACCATATTCCACTTCCATGAACTGCCTGCTGTATTAGTGTCATAAAATCCATCACCTCTGAGGTTTGCAGGTATAGATTCTCTCGACTAAAATGTCCTCTATCCTTACTGCTGCCTAAATTCACCCTGTTCTTTAGAATATAGCTCAGCCATCACCTCCATCGAGAAGCTTCCTTGACTTGGCTGGTATGTGTTCTGACTCTACGTTCCCATTTGACCTGGGCTTCCACCTATCATTACGCTTATCTCTCCGTACTGAAATGCCACATTACCTAATCTGACTCTCACTTTGGACTGTGAGTTTGAGGGCAGCAACTATATCTTGATTACTGGTGTACCCTCAGCACCAGGACCAAGTCTGGCACATGCAAAGTAAGCACTAGCTAAGTATCTGTTGAACAAATAAGCAAATCAATGCATGGATGATTAAATTGATGAGTAAATTTAAAAAATCAGTAGAAGAAATATGTAATGCATTTTTAATAGACCAGATCTCTAAATGAGTGTTGAATAAATTCTCTCCAAACTACTCACTTAAGTCTTTTCATTAAAATTACTCATTTAAGTCCCACCCAACGATGACCTCTCTACCAGAGGACCAAATAATGTGACTTGTGACTTGGAAAAACTATGAGGTTAGAATTCTGTGTTGGGGGCTGGATCTGCCTCATTGATAAAGAATTCACTCAGACATAATTTATCCAATTTAGATTTTCCATGGTTCTGTGGGCTTGGTTTTGAATAAAACCACGTGTACGCACCTCATCCATTGATGGTCTTAACTTTGCCCGCGTGGTAACACACTGGCCTGCCAATGAGAAGAGCTTGGCAGAGAAATTCCGAGGACAGGGATGCACTTTCTTATCTAGAAATGAAAGACACGAATCGAGGCCTCTCTTCTCCATCAATTCCATAAGGAGATCCCTCTAGGAAGAGAAGAAGACAACTTTATCTTTCAGAACTCTACCCCAAAAATGACCGAGAGATAGGAACAGAGATGAAGACAATTCTCACCAGCTGGATATGCTTTGGATCATCTAACACCACTTTACAACCTGTCAGAACTTCCATTATTACCTATAGGGAATATATAGAAAGTCAGCTACATATGTTAAATATATACATAGAATTAGTTGCAGCGATTAACCTTGACAATAGGTAACGTTCGTTCTAATTAATGACTCTATTTTACTATTTGACTGATTACATAAAATTAATGTATAAGACAATGAGTAACAGGAAATCAATAGGTCTAAAAGTGAAAGCCCTTATAAAAATTCTTAGAATTTAGAGCAGTCCTGGTGGTAAGCTTTCCTCCTTTGTTGACTGGCACTTGGTACTCACAATTCCAAAGCTATAGACGTCCGTTTTAATGGAAAGTTTGCCCTGTCTGATGTACTCTTCGGGCATATACCACAGATGTTTACTGCTGCTGCTGGTCATGCTTATGGTAGAGCTCTGATGTTCCAGGTGGGGTCGGAAGTGTGCCATGCCAAAATCAGTTAGTTTGGGGTGGAATTGATCATCCAAGAGTATGTTTGCACTAAAATTGTAATCAAGGACAAACAAGACAAAAACATAAAGGCATTCCGGTGAAAAACAAAATGACAAACTCACCTTCATATCTGGTTAATTCCAAACGCTGACAACACAAAGCCATACATAATTTCCCATGAATTAGAGGGCATCTTCTCATATTTCTTAAAGTATAAATACAAGTATTATACAAAACTCTAAAATGAAAACCTGGGGCGCCTGAGTGGCTCAATCAGTTGGGTGACCGACTCTTTAGTTCGGCTCAGATGGTGATCTCAGGGTCCTGGGATCAAGCGCTGTCGGGCTCCGTGCTCAGCAGGGAGTCTGCTTGGGATTCTCTCTCTCCCTCCGCCCCTCCCCCCATTCATGCGCATGCTGTCTCTCGCACTCTCACTTTCAAATAAATAACTCTCTAAAAAAATAAAATGAAAACCTGACCTAAGAACAGTGGGCTTTTCAAATTTATAGATACATGTAGGGAGTTGGTGGATAAAGCTGATCCTTTGCCAATAGGAGAAACTAAAGTTAAGCAAAGTAGCTTTCCTTGTGCTCTTCTGATACATAATGAGAACATGAAGTGGGTTTTAATCAGCTAATAATCAAATACCTGTTACGTGCCCAGAGCTGTGCTGTGGAATGTCCAGCCTATCAGCAGAGAGCCACTAACCTGCAATGAGGTGAGGAACCTTTGGTAGCTCTGCTTAAGGATAAACCTAGTCCACTGTCCCATCTGTATGGACTTTCTATGGAGTAAAGGCAAAAATGTCTTTGGGACTTACTTAAAATATAAATATCTGCAGAGGTAAAGGCTAAGTGCCTAAAGTCAGTTTTAGCTACCTGTCACATTAAAAGCCTTAAAAATCACTTAACATCTTGGCTGACAGGTAAGCATCAGCTTACTTTTACCTTCAAAGGGCTGCCACAGCAGGGATGCGAAAGGCTAAGCCCATGCATTTCACACGGCCCCCACTGGAGTGAGTCCCGGCTCTGTCTTACCCTGGGTCCGTGACCGCAGGTGGCTAACTTCACCCCGTACGCCTCAGTGTCATTTTCCTCACAAGTGAAATGAGGCAAACAACAGAACTCACAGAACTGAACACAAACAGCCTACTACCCGGCATACAATAATGCCCAATAAATGGTAGGGAAGATGAAAATCAGTAACGAATCATAAGAGAGCAGATGGATATTGACAAAACAGGTGGGTGGACCAAGAGAAAGTAATCTGTTTCTCACTTCTGCTTGGGGGCTCTTCAGAGCTTACTTTTTGTTCCCTGAAACCAAAGCTTCTAATACTAGGTCTGCCCATCCAAAACGCAAGTGGTATATTTGTAGTGCTACACGTTGTTATTAAAAGTGGTAACAGCGGGGCGCCTGGGTTGCACAGTCAGTGAAGCGTCCGACTCTTGATTGCAGCTCAAGTTGTGGCCTCAAGGTCATGGGATCGCGCCCCTCGATGGGCTCCGTGTTCAGTGCAGAGTCTGCTTGAGATTCTCTCTCCCTCTCCCTCTGCCCCTCCTGCTCATCTCTCTCTCGGTCTCTCTAAAATAAACCAATCAATCTTAAAAAAAAAAAAAGTGGTAATAGCTATGGGATAAGGACAAGAAATTCTTAATCCTGAACAAATACTGGTTCTTACAAAAGTTCCAGAAGTCCCTTGCTCACCTTGTACAGGTAGGCTGACAGGCAGAACCTAGTTTCAGAGGTCTGAATTGCAGGTGTCTTAATAATCCAGAGTACTCAGAGTCCTACTTCTGTCTTGAGGATTCAAAGCTGAGACCTTTAAGAATTCTAGCCCGGGGTTGCCTAGGTGGCTTAGTCGGTTGGGCGTCTGCCCTCTGCTCAGGTCATGGTTTCCAGGTCCTGGGATTGAGTCCCATGTCAGGCTCTCTGCTCAGTGGGGAGTCTGCTTCTCTCTCTCTCTCTCTCCCTCTGCCCCTCCCCACTGCTCGTTCTCTCTCTCTCTCTCTCTCAGAGAGAAATCTTTAAATCTTTAAAAAAAAAGAAAAAAAGAAGAAGAAGAAGAAAAAAGAATTCTAGCCCGGAGTTTGTCTAGAACCGAGTTAAGAACAGACAGCATGAAGACATTTCTCAGGACCCTTTAAGGATCCAGAACACATTCTAAACTTGATGTCACTCTCTGTCTTTTTTTTTTTTTAA